GTGGAAACAGATTTAAATGTTTGCAGAATTTACCATCAATCTTGATAGATACACGATATAAATCAAAATGATACAAGAAAGTGATTATAGGAGTAACTTTAAAGGGGATCTTAACAACTGTTGAAATAACCAATCACATTTCTCTCTTTTATGCAATTCTATATTTTCATCAGAAATTCCTCAGAATCTGATTGGTTATTTCAACAACAGCTAGCTAGGATGACCCTTGAAGTTAGTTGTGATTAGAATTACAATATGACCATTAGATTAGGAGACTCACAATCATGATGCACAGATATAGTTGTTTGTTGGATGGAGACAATAAACAGTAAGCCTTGCCCCACTTAGGTTTATCGTTTGTTGGCCCTCATCAACAAGGTATATCTGCAAACCTCGATGGAGATGATGTCCAGCCTGAGATTAGTGCCCATGTTATCCCATGCTTCAGTTAGAGAGTTTGTAGATACATCCTGTTGATGAGTGTCAAAAGGCACGAAACCCAGGTCAAACATCAGGACTTCCTGTTGAATGATTCCATCAGTAGACAATGATAATCATGTATACTGGTCACTTAATCTAAACAGACTACTTGAACTCTTTTAGGACTGGATTCTGTAGTTGAATACGAGACTTATATGTGTTGAGTTCGTATTCACGTATGATAGAGGTTACACACTCATAATCGGTCTATTTGCTAAATATACTCACATGCACACACACAGAGAGAGAGAGAGAGAGAGAAATGCACAGCCATTATCATTATTGATATTATTGATGAAGAGTGGCTAACCGTGGAATTCAGGATGCCCGTTTCGTCCTATTTGGGACTCGTCAGCCGGATACATCTGCCTCTCAGTGTATGATTTTGTTCCTATTAACACTGTAATCACAGTAGAGTCACACAAATCATAGCATCAAAACTATACTATGTCCATCACACAAGGTGTAGCTATTATGAATCAGTGGCCTAGTGTATTATTACTCTCTGATGTTTGAAGCGACTGGTCCTGGGCTCGAATCCACTGGATTGAACGAAACATCCATCCTGGACTCCACTAATAGTCACTCTCCAGCATTAACATCGAGGATTGAAGATATCGGCGATATCCAGGAGTCGGCATAGAGATCCATGCACCAACAGTGATTGATCAATTAGGTCCAAATAATAACGGAAGCTTACAAACTCTAACATTATTATTATTATTATTATTATTTAATGTTATTGTTAAGAAGAAAAAAATTCTCATTCATACTTAGATCTAATCCAGTTTAATCGTGTGAACAACAGGTGTATCTTCTATTAAGCTGAAAACACATATTTTCAACGCAGAAAATTGAAAAAAACACTTCAATTTCTCTTCTTCCCCCCCCCGCCCCCAGGGAGTTTCTGTTAGCGGGTTGGAGACGTATCGACTGGAGACGAATGAAAAGCAACATTTATTGCTCACTTTTCTATTAATTTATACCACCATTCTCATTTTACATGTAATTACTTTTATACACCTTAAAGAGTAGGCGAATAAATAAATAAACTCAAGTAGGTGTAAATAATCTATTCTCCACTCATCTCCCCCCCTCCCACCCACCCCCACACACACACATATTCCGATTATGTAACGCATATGTTTTTTTTATATGCATTACTATGCTGAGAAAATTCTTTAAATCTTTATCCCTTTTACTTAAAAAACACATTATCCAGGATAGTTTTTTTTGTTGAATGTATTTTGTCGTCTTTTTCGCCTAACTGTCAACCTTCTTCATTCGTATTCCATCACACACACACACACACGTGTGTGTGTGTTTATCCAGTGTGCTACCACCCGTGCATTTACCCAATCAAGAGTAAAGAGAAGTGTGTGTAATTAAGGGTAGGTGGCAGGCCTTGAAATGTTGAATTTTTTTACCTCTGTTTTACGTGTTTGTTGGACTTTATTTCCCAATGGTTAATAAAATGTCAATTGTTATTACTATTAATACTATTACTACTAGCCATGATCCATCATTAACATAATTAGAAGGCAGGTAATATCGAGGCATCCGTACAGGAGCCTATATGCCAATAGAGACTGATCAATTCGGTCCAATCAGTGACGGTGTAGTACAAGCAATTATACTAGAACTATACTCGTCGTACAAGAAGTGGCTATCGTGGCTCGGTGGTGTAGTAGAGAACGCTATCGCGTTTGAAGTGATCGCTTCAGAGTCCGAATCCCGGTTGGAACAGCATCACTCACTGGGAGCCAGTAGGTACATCCAGCTGACAAGTCCTAAATAGGACGAAATGCGCATCCTGGATTCCACTGCTAGCTACGATCTATCATTGACATTTATTGTTATTCTCTGTTGTTTTATTGGATGTAACTGTTCGACCTCTGTTGGCATATGGGCTTCTATGCAGATGTCTCGATATGGCCTGAATGTTAGTTATGATGATTTACTTCCTTGTTGTTAGCAGAAGAATGCAGGACGTCTGTCTTGTCCTACTTGGGGCTCTTAGACTGGATGTACCTGCATCCCAGTGAGCGGTGTTGTTCTTCCGTGGCATAGTAGATAATGCCTTGGCGTTTGAAGCGATGGGTACGAGCTTCGAGTCCTATTGGGGAGAACATCACTCATTGGGATGCTGGTACATCCGGCTGACGAGTCCGAAATAGGACAAAACACGCGTACTGGATTCTTCTGCTAGCCACAACCAGCCAAATTATTAGGTTGGCATTCATCATCAACTGATATCAGTCGGAGGATTGGATAGCTTAGCAGTGTGCCAGGTATGCAACCGAGGGTTTTCAAGTTCCATGATCTGTACGTTACGTCAATGGTTGAAGTTTAATGGTTCACAGTTTCTTTCGTCTGACAATTCTTGATATGCCATCGATCGTTGGGTAATTGACTTTATGTTCATCTTGGTATGCTGCACAAAACCTCCAGATTAATTTACTGTCTATTGCTCTGTGATGACTTACTCCGATATAGGATTGCTGAAGTTATGACCGATGGGTCAAACTAAGTCGAACTTGAGGACAGGGACTTGGAGATGTCACTGGATGGAGGTCACCGTATATCACTAACTGGCAGAAGTAGCAAAGTGTGAACGGAAAGCTGATAACCTGGTAACTGAATGGTAGCATACGCGCTGCATTGCTCGGATATCTTATAGTCAGATGAAATTAGCTATCCAGATCTCTCGAGTCTTGAATGATTACTCAACTGAGAGTATCTGAGCTTGCTGAACTCTGGCAAAATATCTCTGAATCCTTTCTTTCTGAATTCAGGATAAAATGGATCAATTTCATTACCATTTGAGATACCCATGGTTGATCAGACTTGTATTGTTATTAAGCTGGATAATAACTGAAAGCGAAGTGAGAATCTTAACCATGGTAGGATTCGAACCAGAGACTTCTGGGTTTCCAGCTACATTTAAATCCTGCTGTGGCTCAAATTTTCATTTCACTTTGAATTATCGCTCAGTATATCAGTCAATGCAAGTCTATCAAAGCATAGCTTTCTTAAATAGTCAAACTGATGTGTTTACATTTGCATAACTGCCATCGATCAAAAGCTCTATTTCCCATTTCCGTGTCCTTGTGGACCCCACTTGTATGATTCAAAACAGCAGTCAGGGACTCCAGGAACTGGTGACACTAGCTTATCTCGTCACTTTCAATCAGTTTAGTACAATTGTTTTTATATGATACCGTCGTTGATTGAACCGAATTGATCGATCTCTATTGGCATATGGGTTCTTGTGCGGATGCCTCGATAGTGCCTGCTTTCCAATTGTGTTATTGATGGATCGTGGCTAGCAGTGGAATCCAGGATGCGCATTTCGTCCTATTTAGGACCCGTCAGCTGGATGTACCTGCCAGCTCCTAGTGAGTGGTGTTGTTCGCACTGGGACTCGGACTTGGGAGCGATCGCTTCAAACACCGGGGTATTATCCACTACACCACCGAGCTACGATAGCCACTTCTTCTGAGACAGGTATAGTTTTTAGTAGAATTGTTTTATATATGATACCGTCGTTGATTGTATCATCCAGCTGACGAGGTCCAAATAGGACGAAATGCGCATTCTAGATTCAACTGCTAGCCACGATCCATCATTAATCCAACTAATTTAGCCTACTTCAGTTAGCATTATGCACCATGATAGGGGTTGACTAAGTATATCGGCTGGTGTTGGTTTTCTGTCCCACCAAATGATTGACGCGCCAATTAGTTGACAGTGATATGAAAGTAATAATAACCAAAAAATTGGAGCTTACTGACATCTTCTAACTTTAATTGTGATGTTTCGTAGCCATATAGTGCAGCATAGTACATTTAACTCTTAGTAGACAATTGGAAAAATCACCGAAGCTGCACATGAGATTTGGGTCAACTACTAACCCTTCAGGTTTCAATTAATTTCTTAGCCAAGTGACATACACAACGATTTCACTCCTCATCATTAGATGAAGCATTAACACAGACTTGTGTTGAAGTAAGAAATTTCATTTGAATGTTGAGAAACACTTTTCAAACAGTTCAAAATGAACAGACAACATTTTATATGGATACAAGTTGACATACACAACTCATGTGATATCTCATTGTGGGCATTTATACAATCGTATATTCTTAGAGTATTATGTTGTCAATTGTATGGTGTATTTCAAACAGAGACATTGACAATGAATAGTTTAAGTGATGTAATTGATAACCACCTTCAAGTCAAGAATTAAATCAAGTGTTAGGCACTGGTAAGTATGTCTTTGATGTAAAATCTAGCGGAAAATAAGAAAATTTCAAGTTTTATCAACTTTTCTATCTTTATCAAGTTAACTAAACAGAAGAGGATGAATGATTGATTGACCAGTGACTGAATGACTTCGATACCCAGCTGGCTGGCTGGCTGGCTGGCTAATATACATGCAGAAATTCACCTCATCTAAGTTCAGTTAGTATGAAGTTCTTCCCAACCTTCAACACTATACAACCAATAATAATAATAATAATTTAGCAAATTGTTTTATTCACTCTTTTGCATACATCTTCAATGTTTAATAGTGTAGGAATGTAATAAATATAAACAATTACTACAACAACAACAACAAAAATAAATAAATTAATAATTGTTCAATGTACTATTGAATATTGTTTATAATATTCTATATATGATGCATAGGGGGAGTTAAGGGATGAAATTCTTCACATCCTTTTTTTTCACGTGAGTATTTACGCATTCAATAATTCGGTAAATGAGTGGGTGGATAATAAGCAGAAAAAAACGGGGGGGGAGGGGGGACTGACTGACTGAAACAATAAAATCATACTTCGGTTTGTATACCTAAATAAATTTTTTATTACAATGAAATGTATTTATACGAAAAATAAGATTTATCTACACGAATGTAAAAGTCATACACACCTTAAGAGAAAGGTGGAGGGGGGGGGGGCGAGGCAAATATTCTTTTAGCTAAAAAGACCAACTTCATATAGGTGTAGACAAAAAAAAAAGAAAGCGCAAAATATAAAAAAAAATAGCCGGAAAACAAAACAAACGGTGGTGTAAGTGATTTATAAACAATGCGAAACTGATAAAAATTTATTTGATGTACAATCAAGAGATAAGTTTTTCTTGATTACTGCTACATCATTTATAATGGATGAAGGAAACACTGAAGATGAGGATGATACACGTGGATATGTTGAAGTGATTGTATTGGTTAAAGGATTTATAGAAGGAATTGATGTCTTCGCTTCAGTGAACAACGATAGTGTGTTATAACCATTCAAAAGAGATGCTGGTGATTGTTCCTTACCTGAAAAATATTGTTTCATATCAGATAGTACAGATTCATCATCATCATCACCATCATTATCTACATCAGCATTGTTACCGTGAGTATTGCTGTTATTACCACTACTATTATTATTATTACTGTTTGAATCAATGTTATGAGTCGTGTGAACTACACTGTGATTGGTGGAAATTTTCGTCACTTCTGATTGGTCAAGGCTAGTAAATTCATTATAATTCTGTGAAAATCGGTTTACATTCGATAGATCATTCTCATAAAGTTTGTAGTTTTCTTTCCCTCTATCAGTTAATCGTAAATTGAATGAATTACAGTCTAGTTTTGATTGTGAACTAAATATTGGTGAGTTTGAATTAACTATAGACAATGAACCACTGGATGATAACCATGGTAATTGAAATATGTTTTGATTGAATACATTTGTTGATGTTTCTAAATTGTTAACTAATTTAAAGTAATCTGGATAGTTTGATTGTGATTTTGGAGATGATAATGATGAATTAGTTGAAGATGTTGATGAGGATGATGAAATTGGAATTTGATTGGTTATTGTCTCACAAGTTATAATAGTTGGTATAGAGATAGGATTTGTTGGTGAAATTGTAGTAGATGATGACATTGGTGGAGGTCGAGGCAATGCACTACCTGTTGCCATTGCTATAGCTACTGCTGTTCGATAAGCCTCAATTGTTTCATGATGTTGCTGATTTGAAGAAAAAGAAATCACAAAAATTATTCATGATTACACTTTAAACATTTCAAACTGATGAAATTCTAAGGGAGATGATTCAGTCATGAACATGGATAAGAATGATAAATCTTTACTTACTAACTCTTCCCTTAGATAAAATTCAAACCATACACCCCTATCAACAGACACAGGCAGAATCAACGTAGAACCTAGCACACAAGTAGATCACCTCAAGTTGCTACACTCTGCAGTAGTATACAAAGAACTCAGTGATTCCTATCGCCTCAGGGACCCTAGTCAAGTAGTCTACATCTCTTTCCCTACACTCCTCTGACCAACACTCATGAATTTCATTTACCCTGTACTTACTGTGTGAAAACACAGTAGCAAAATGAATGACTAACAGCACCAACTATGACGTCATTATAGATAAGTAACAAGATAGATATTCCTTCTAAAACTATTTAAGTTTCTTACACTCAACAATCTAAAATGACTTTTTGCAGATCTCAATTATGGTAGACTGATTAGTAATCACTGGGAAAGTAAATTCATTTTCATCTTATAATTAACTTGTGTATATAATGAAAATATATAACAAGTCAAAAGGGTTTTGATTGGTTCAGTTTTAGCGACGGGGAGGTGGGGGGGGGGGAATAGTGATCCACTAAATAACTGGTACATTTAGCACTCGTAAATGGTTGTCTTTATGAAACAACTAATTCCTGAGGACAAATACTCAACGATGCGATTAAGCGGTAGTTGGGCTGTGTTATGAACTGATAAAAGTTGAAAATATAGACAAATGGATTCCAACTCATTGACTCAATGATAATGTGATGGTCATGGAACCTGAAGGTCGTGGTTTCGAACACTGGTGGGGTCATGGGTGCACACTGTTGAAGAATTCCATACTAGGGAGAAACAGGTGTCCAGTACTCTCAAGTTTTCAGTGTTTCTCCAACTGATGTGAGCTGATGATGAAAACTAACTTAAAAACAGTAAGAAGATGTTAAGTGTCTGAAGCGTATGTAGTGTACCTGCACAACTCACTTAGAAACTATCTGATGACATATATACTAGTCATAAGGTACTTATATAATGATCCATAAATATAAGAGAGGTCAAGTAAGAAGGCTGAATTAAAGGCCAAATAATAATAAAAATCAACCAACAACATCATCCACTGAAAGGCAGGTACATTCAGCTGACGAGCCCCAAATGGGACGAAATGCGCATCCTGGATTCCGCTGCTAGCCACTGTACATATTTAAAAATGAATAGTTTTAGAGTTGAATTCACCAAGGTAAATTCTATATGAACACACAAAGATGCCTTAAATGTCCTAGTAGATAAGGTATGAACAAATTTACGGATCCATAACCAATACGTTTTGGAATTGGATGTAAACGATGTGTAACAACGTCATTTCTGTAACCTATCTTTATGTGTATGGAACACATGTATGGGAAGGATTTGTAGATTAGTGCATATAATAACCTTGAAGGATATTCCAAAGTAACATATCAGACATCCAAGTTCTTTGATCATTAAGCCTATCGTTGAGACAGATCATAGAATTGATGCTACTACTTCCTTCAAACCTATTTACAAATGTTCTGGCAAAGGATCCTTAAATTTCTTTGATTATTCAAAAAGTCTTGCTCATATACACTACACACTTCTTATTGTTTTATTGAACAGGGAACTAATTGTCTTAAATAAACAATTGTTAAACAAACTCAGGATCTTCAAGTTTTACAGTGAACATCTTAACTATTCCAAGTTCTGTTAATTTGCTATATAATATGACTATTGCCCAAAATCTTCAGTTGACATCCACTTCCCTTCCGACTGATTGACACCACAGGTCATAACTTCTCAGTAGAGCATAATAATATCCATCTGGAAGCATGTCATTAATGAGCCCTATTACAGTAATGTGTTTTTGACTATTCTACGCACTGCTGATGAGTACCATACTGGGACGAAACAGATATCCAATGTTTCCTCAACTGATGTCAATTCTTTAGATTAAAATGTTTATTCATCTGAAAAATCAGTTAATTGTTAAGCAATCAATAAAACTTACTCCTAAATGTGTTTTCAAATTGCCTTTAGTTGAAAATCGTTTATCACATATTATGCATACAAAAGGACGTTCTTCTATAATGAAAAAAAAATTAGTAAAAAACAATAAAGAAATATATTATCAGTAGACTTATATTGATTATTATTGATTGGGTGATAACTGAAGGTCAAATGAAAATCTAGGCCTCAGAGGGATTCGAACCAAAGACCTCCAGGTTTCTCAACCAATCCTGTAATAAATGACAGAGGGATGGGAGTGACAGGGGTGATTGAAGATGAAATTTCACTCCATACCATTACTGGATATAAGCTGATTGAAATCACTTGATCTAATTGGCAATAGGTTTTTCAGAATAGATCGTTTTGCCTTTAACTATTTTGCACATATATCATCGTTTACTGTGATTTATAATGAATTTATCAATGTCAATTTATCGCTGAATCAACTTCGGTTCTCTATGATGAATGTCATGCATTTAGTCCTGTTTAAGACTTGTCATTTGGATATATCTACCTCCTAGTGAGTAATATTGTTCCCAGTGGCACTCGATCCCGGAACCTAGGACTTTAAACATCAGAGAGTTATCCACTAAGCCACTAAGCCACTCTTTGTACAACTACAAGGCAGGTGTATTCAGCTGACGAGTCCCAAATAAGAAGAAATGTCCACCCCGAATTCCACTGTTAACTATTATTCGTCTTTAATACCCGCAATATCGAGACATCTGAGGAGGAGCCTATATCATAATAGTGGCCGTTCAATTTGGTCGAATCAACGTAACAGAATCACAGGCTAAAACCTTAAGGCTTATATTCACTAGCTTCAGTAACTAGATTGATAAATGATAAGTATCGGATTTATGATAGGAGACCGTTTGTATTGTTTACCATGATAAGTGCTGAAAAGCGAAACAAGGATCAAAGGGAAATCAGTCAATAGCTGTTTCACATTGTTTTGGAACTGATACTGAGGAGTACATACGTTTTCATTGTTTCACAAGTAGACTGAGGGGAACATGTAGCTATGACGTATTGGTCTAGGGAGTTGACTTTCAACCAATGCATCACAGGTTCGAACACTATTGCCTAATGTTGATACTATTTTATGAAGCTATCTGACTATTACTTTCACTTTCACAAATAAAGAAGTTGAACTCACCGGTATGAACACGATAATGCATTGTTAATGCACTTCGACAACTTAACACCTTATTACAAACACCGCACTGATTTGGACCAAGTGTACGCTGAAAACGATCAGCTAGTTGACGCCAAAGAATATTTTGTGATTGATCAATTTTCATGAATTGTTCTAAATAATCTTCAGATGAACGTGGTGGTCGTGATGATGAACCATTTGATTGTGTCTGTTGTTGTTGTTGATGAGAAAGTGAGGAATGTTCAGTAACCTTGTTATTGGAATCCATACATTCATTGAAATTATTTAACATCTGTTGAGGTGGAGGTGATGATATATTCCTAGAAGGTGAACACTCTAGAGGTATTTCATCTACATTCTCTTCATTCATTAGATAATCTTCATCATTGATAACTGCTGACTGGGGAATATGATGACGATAATTGTGGTGATATGACGACGTTGTAATGGTTGCTGTTGTAGGAATAGAATTGCGTAACTGAAGCTTATACTGTATACCATTATTATCACTATTGTTATTATTATTATGACTATTAGTTGTTAAATCATTTGGTACAGGTGTAGATGACTTTGGTGGCCAATTACAACTTGAATTATTGAAAATTGATAAAAGTGTTTGTGGAAATGAAGGATATGTGATTGATGAACATCTGTCATCCTCTGAATATGCCAGTCTCGTATTCTTCATCATTGTCATCACTGCTGATTGTATAAAAGGTGGGAATTGATTCAATGACTGATTAACTTCCCCACCACTCCCACTACTAATGATATTTGGTTTATTTAATTGGTGGGATGGATAGAAGGATGAATTCATTGAAAAACTATTGTTATCATTAATCGGTACAGGGAGAGAAAGTGTTGACAATGGAGCAATTATATCATTGGTATTCTTAGTGACAGTTTGCTGATAGAATGGTTGTACAATAGCAGCTGCATATGCTGCAGCTGTAAATAAATCCACTGAAGAAGCTGATGTCGGCTGATGTGAAGCTTGAAAATGCTGATATGGATATAAGGATGAGGTATGAAAGTCAGGATGAAGGCTATGCCCAGTATTGGTTGTAATTAAGCTATTTTTTGACAATTCACTGAGTTCATTTATTGCAGTATTTGAATAAAATGAAGGTGGAAGCTCTGCATTGATAGCTGTAGTCATGGTTGCAGATGTTTCCATGGTACTAGTGGTATTTAACGGCACATTAGGATGATGTACGGACGATGAGACAGAATTAGAGTGATCCTGAAGCAAATAGTTCATTGATATACTCTTAAGATAATGATAAAATTGATCATGAATGATTTGTTGTCTGTTACTCTCACTTCTAGGATGACTGAGGGTTCCTTGAGATGATGTTGAGGGAAATAACGTCTTATTATTGAGATTATCACTTATTATCTTGTTTACAGTTAAATCTAAAGCATAATCGCTAACAGGCCCTTGACGCTGGACATCATTACTACTAGTAGTACTACTTCCAACGGCTTTATAAGTAGTATCTTTATTGGTGGCTTCAATATCTGTTAGATTATTAGCTGCCTGACCTGAATTACCTAGTCCACTGTCATGTGATATACCATTGAGGAGTAGACTTTTCATATTTTCATACGCCAAGTCAACTGAACTACTGTTTGACTCTACGTCATTTCTTTCTCTATCTTCACCGTCTTCTTGTCGTTGAAGACTATTAAAATGTTTGGATAACTGGATACTTTCTTCATCTTGAGTACCATGTTTCATACAGTCGCCTTCATCAACACCATCAGCCTTTCCTTCATGATCCATTCCACTTTTCAAAAGTTCTTTATTGTTAAGAGTGAAGACATGCCAATTTGATTCATCTGAAAATGAAAACAGATAAGCAGGTAGGCTAACAAAAACTGATAATTACTATTCTATAGTACCATATACTACTGATGATGAATATGAGTAGTTTATGATAGAAAATAAGAGGAAGGGTAATACGAAGTCAAAGTTTCCAGTTGAATCTGTACACAGTGGAATAAGAGAGATTCCACGAAATTTTGTTCTACTCACCTATAGAATTTGATAGAATATGTGAATTATTGAGTTTTCTTACACAACTCCTTAAGGTTGAAGGATTTACTTATCCAGGAAGAGCATAAATCCAATTAAGATGTTTTCGTCTTGTCTGAGACCTATTACAATGTACTTTGCTTGATGTTCCGTTGTATGAGGACAACCTATTTCACTCAGGTTTTGTTCTTGTTGATATTCGTCAGAGCAGTGTATCTTCAGTGGTGATGTCTGTAGCTTGGACACTGAGTGGTTCAGGTTCCGAACATCGAGAGAGAACACTATTTCCCTCATGGTTGGTAAGGCATTCTGCTGATGAGTATTGGTAAGTATCAAACCTATGTTAAACAGAGCTTCCTGTCGATCCACTCTTAACGTCACTTGACTTACTCGTTGAACTGTAAAGACTTGTTGGACACTGAGGAGTAAATGGTTTCATCGGGTACCCACAAGCGGTCTATCTACAACCATCACTTGTAAAGTCATTTTCCAAGACGTTCAATCAAGTTGGCACGTGTCATGTATCTGAAGCTCAACACAATAAACATTAATTATGCACTTCACATAAATTGAAATACCATAGTTACTGTAAAAAAAAACTGACGAAAGTAAGAATTACCCAAGTAGCTGTTCAATAAAACTGAACGTACATCCACACACAGTTATACATTTATTCACGCCTATATACATATATAATTATTATGTTTCTTTGAATCTTATCAACAGAATGAATGAGCTAGCTGTGAAAATTCTATTCTTCAAGTATCCATGTCATTATTATTTTTCTTGGACATTACGTAACTGGGATACAAATCAACTTATACTCCTGTAAGAAAAGCGACAAACTGTGATTGCATAATCACTGTCAAACTATTGATCGTATACAGTTTTTTTTTTAAAAAACACAGTAATAATGATAATAATCATCACCTTACTACAGTAAACTTTACACGACAACTAACCTATTGGTATTCTTTCAAATTACAAGGGGTTAGTTACTACCAGTGAAGTGAAGATAAGAGAAAACAATTGAAACACTAAGAGCATGAAGAAAAACCTTTGTAATTAATTAGTATACTAAGAGTAAATTTCAAGAAGGTTGGTTATTAACAGTTTTTGAATTGTCTATTCACTGAAGTAGTTATGTAACAAGAAGCTGGACAACTGTGTATTTATGGTAGACATCAATGTGACTTGTTGGTTATAACATAAACTTCCTTCTTCTCAAGTTTTCCTGGCAACATGAGTGTCAATTTTCGCCAAAGAAAAGTTTTCTAAGCAAGTCTCAGTCAGTCAGTCAACTGATTAGGGAATGTAGAATACATGTTCCCTCCTATTTACGACTCGTCAGCTGTTTATACTCCCATCCTAAAGAATAATATTGCTCAAAGTTAGACTTGAACCAGTACTCAAAGCTGTAAATGCCAGAGGGTTATCTAGCAAACTACTAAACTTTAGGTACAAGTCGATATCTGAGGTGGTGAGTCCCAGTCTCTATGGAACACTGTCAATCACTGAGATGTAGGTTCATCCACCTGACGAATCCTGAGTAGGACGAAACACCCGCAAAATTAGTCTTCTAGTAATATCAAGACATCCATATAGAAGGTCATATGCCAATGGAGACTGATCGATTCGGTCCAAAGTAGAAACTAGCCAATGAAAACCTGAGGGCGCTGGATGACCATTCCATCCGCGACCAATCTTCCTATATCTGTCAACTCGCTACCATCAGGAAATGACATCGGTGAGTAGTTGTCCTTAGACCGCATAGGTTATTAATCTCCTACTAGAACTTCAAGTAAATCTCTCTCGGATCAAGTGACTAATGAGTACTGAAAAGTGAACAGTTCAACTGATGATTTGTGGTGATCCGTTGGTTGACTGACATCAGTCACATGAATACCAACTGAAAATCAACCAAACGGTCAATCTCCACAAACCACTATCTGTCCACTTTCATTGCTTGACTTTATAATAGTAGTGGTGGTGAAGTTAGTTGGATGGTAATGTTTAGTTTTCAAAAATTTTGGTTTAGGAGGCTTCTACTCCAATTTTTCACTCAGCTCTCTGGGGTCACTCTGAACCTCCTTTGTTTGAACGTCATTATTGAAAAACGTGATGAATCGATTCCCTCGCTCAACAGGAAACACATAAGTAACGGATCCTCATGAAAACGAACACTGGTGACAGAGTATTCTGTTAGCGCTTGTTCAAGGTGATCGGTATTATCCTAACTCGCAGATATCAGCACATCCACAGTCGCTGCGTAAGTGGATCGTCTGGCTATACTCACTTCCCCGTGGAAAGACGTGGGTGTGACACGTTTCATTGGGTCTCCACAACCTTGTGAACCAGAGTGCAGTTCACTCTCCTGGAGTAGGGCCATTCTCCAGGCTTCAGATATCATACACTTTGGGTAAACGACATCTGTTTGAAAAAGGTAGTTTGAACTACAGTGACTATTAAAATTAGGAAGCTGAATTCCCCATCCTTTCAGCTGTACTGCTCTCAGATCACTGAGAGGAATCGTAGTTGATAGCTGAACCATCCACGTTTTGCAGACTCACGCCGCTAATCTTATGCATATGCATTTCATCAACTGTGTTTACCGCTAAGCTAACTACGATGGTGGATTGGTTGATGTCCAGAACAACCGCCAGGAGGTTCATCGTCGTTGCGCAATGCAACTCGATCCATAATCACTGGTGCGCACATTATCTCCACTTTTCCTGAACAACAGCAGAAATACCTACATCACTTAACTGCATCATGTAGGGCTTCTTCATATTGACGCCCTGGTATATGTAACTACTTTGTGGTATTCGTATGCTCTAAGAGAGTCATAGTTACTTTCTTATTTAAGATTTTCGCAAGCATATTTACCTGTCAATCTATCGACAATAAGGTAACTATCCTACTACTTACAAGTAGTGTCACTTTTATTGGTTCACAGGAAATGATTGTTGGAAATGGTAGAATTCCTAAGAAAAGTCATTGATTCTAGGTTGATTACCATAAATATAGCAGATTTACAGTTGGGTAATCTAAGTTTCTGGTTACTAACTACTAATTGTTCTTAAGACTACGTGGACCTAAACAGTATTATAAACTACTGGATTTCATGTGAATCTGGGGTTTGAAACAATTTGTCATGGGTTTTCTAGGCGGCAGGTACATCGAATCGTTGGATAACAAATACTATCGTTTTAAGCAAAAAGGTGGAACTGATTGATTGATTAAGTCACCCGCACACCTTCGTCCTCCAAACAAGATCAAAGTTCATTGGACCTGCTTAACGTTTATAGTCAAAATCCGATCTAACACCATTCTTAAGGTAGTATGCATATATTGCTTAACATTATACACTTACGAATGATTATCATTATGACTATTTGAGATACCTCTGGTTTGGGAGACCGGTATTCATACTGAATGATGATTGAAGATGAAATGAAAGATTCGACCATGGTCAAATTCGAACTACCAACCACTGGGTTTCCGTCTTGATACTCTACCAACTGAGCTACAAGGTCTGACTTCTGACCAATTTTTTTACTTCAATCACCATAGGTTTTCCCCATCACTAATTCATATAGTCGTCAACTATCGGATATCTTAGCTCAATTGGTAGAGCATCGAACCGGAAACCAAGTGGTTGCTGGTTCGAATCCGGCTGGGGTCTTAACTTTCATTTCACTTTCAATCATCACCCAATATACTTACTAATGACTTTAGTAGTAGTAGTAATAATAATATTAATAATGATTGTATAAATTCAAGTAACCAGTTATTTAATATTCTCTTTCTGTGTGTGTGTGTGTGTGTGAGTGCATGGTGAGGAGGTAGGCGAGGATATATAGATATACCAACAAGAAATTTGACCGCACTTGTATCTATGGCTATTAGTCAAATAAATAAATAAATATATGCATGTGAATAAAATATGCATGACCGATCACATAATATTCAATATGTTCATTCTCAATCGGGGTTGACAACTGTGTATGCCAATATAAGAAATAAGCGTACACGTGTTTTAGTTCGATAATATTGTGATTAGCACTGATTCACTTACTATTATCATTATATCCTATTATATATCGCAAGCCAGATGTGAAGGTAGTTTATGCCGTCCACCACCCCTGCAATTTACGCATACTCAGTGATTTATTCATTAACTAACACCTCCCCCCCCATATATAGAGAATAAATTATCACACATCATATTGATAAATAATAATCATGATTAGCAAAGTGTGAAAGTCACATAGATTAGACATAAGTACAAACGTACATAAACACACACACACACGTGCGTACGTACGTACATAAAACACAGGTGTGCTTCACATTTATTCAAAAAAAGCACCTACAGGTGCATGTTCGAATACATCAAATATATAGTTGTGTGCACGCGCACGTACTCATACATACGCACATTTAACTCCAAATTTAATCAACATAACTATGAAAGTTGTAATGAGCAGTGCTAATTACTTTTAGGAGATAGTAATGACTTGAAGATACTCATTAACTAATATCTGTGAATTAGGACACCGCACACTCCTTGATTGTGCTCTTTTGCTAGTGTCCAATGCACACACACACACAAACACCTAAATATATGTGGGTTTATTGATCACTATCAATACGTACCGCATCAATAATCGGTTGAATGCATAGTTGTTATAAGTCGATCTTAAGAAAACTGACTGATGATGAGGATGGTTACTACGGGGGGGGCGGGGGGAAGGGTTGGGGAAAATAGATGACTAGTTTATGATGAATATTGATTAGAATAAACAAAAAAAAACGGGAGTCACTATAGAAAATGATTTGAGACTTCCCGGCAGTCTATTGACCAGCTACAAAATAATCCAGCTATCCAGCTTTCCCAAGTTCTCTTGATCTACTCTACAGTTTGAGCATCCTTAAACACAGTCAGTAAGCATATGTCCTTACAGTCGACATGAACACCTTCCCGACTCACAGATTCTCATGAGAACCTAAGTTATCCATGAAACCGAATGACTTTTCCGTTAGAAAGTATATTAATAGTTGATACTAGCTGATGATTGAAGGTGACATGAAAATCAGAGCTATAGAAGGATTTGAACCATACACCTCCACCCAACAGACACCATGTTCTACCAAATCAGCTTCAGGACTCAGATGCTCACCACCACATTTTCACTTCATCTCAATCATCAAGACATTTACCCAACTGTCATGTGATCGTACTCACATTGGCTGGCCTATCCTGCGCCACTCCATCTAGTCAAGACTTATCATCCCAATCGAAATCCAGTTGAATTAGAGGCAGTGAGTATCATTATTTTGACTATATGAGTGAGATAGGCATGGTTTGGCAGACTTGTATTGACTGACTTACTGGGTGATGATGAATCTCGGCCATGGCAGGATTTGAACTGATTAGTAAATTATCATGAATTCACATAGCGATCAGAGTAAAATTCTTTAGTGACAGAGGTGAAATTATGATTTAGTCAGAGTTGGATCATGTAACTTAGGTCGCTGGTTCTAATCCTGCCGTAGTCATTTCGCCTCCAGTAATCATGATTCAATGTCAATAATGTAAGCCTACCAAGCCACGATTAACACAAATAGTCAAATTGATAATCAATAATTAGTTGATTTCAAACTATTGGTCATGAAATGAGATGGGCTAGCAACTATATGTGTGATGTAATACCTTTGAAGAGATTAGTCGATTAAATTACGCTGTTGATGATAGATAAAAGAAACCGTTGTTGAAATGCGTCAAAATGCACTTTATTTGATTGTGAATAAGCAATTCAGTGGTAGATAAAACTACAGATGCAAGCCCCAGTGTACCGGTATAACACACACACACACACACACACAAGAATTACAATTGATGAGTCTCAAAAAAGGGGGGGAATAACTCTCGGATTCCCCTACACTATAAAAACATTTTCGATAAGATAACTTGATAAACATTCATAATCTAGCCTTCTGTGTATACTTCTATTTGTGTGTGTGTGTGTCAATGTAATCACTTTTCTCAAAAGGGATTGACAACATGTTATGTAATCTGTCTCTGTGCCCAACTTATCTAGTAGCTATGCATCGTTTTCAACATTAATTATCACCCTAATCTATTTCACCTTACATAACCTTAGAGACAACAGAACAGGGAGAAGCTTGTTGACAGAAAAAAAGTGTAGAACAATAGTGTGAAAAACTTATTCAGCTTACCATATTAAGTGTCTCCATGTTAATGTTTACTTTCATTACTGTACAACACTGTGATAAAGACAGTATAATCTTGTAAAGAGTCTATGATTGTTAAGATACACTTTGATCTACAGAAATGATGAAGACGAACAAATCACTCTTTTGACGATCGATAGCTGAGGGGGGGCGGGGGAGGAGAGGAGTCAGCAATAAAACCTTAGAGAAGTTGATATATTTTCACAGGTTCTAACTTATATCACCCAGTACTGGAGAAAAAGACGTTACCATGAATAACTCCAACTAACCTATGGAGTGATGTGGATTCTAACCTCCAAGGATATATACTGCTGATGAATACTAGAAAGTATAAAACATGGGTTAAGCATAGCTTCCTCTTAATTGCCTTCAATCATCGATCAGTTTTTACAATGTTCTAATAAGTACCACTTAATTGGTTACTATCCGTTAATCAATCATTGTAAACAAGTCTTTCATTTACTGTTACAGACACTGAACAGAACTCGTCTTTTAAGGAAGTGTACATTTAGCGAATAGTCAACTATGTCTATGCAAAATGTTTACTGAATAACATCTTATCCTAAATTCAACAGTATCACTAGTCTCAATATCACAATTTCTATCCATTGCCGTCGTTAACTAACTGTCTTCATGCATGATTTGATTTACCTCACCGATCACAACTTTCCATTACACAACTTCGGCAATCTCATTTCATGATTATATCATTAGTGAATAGTAGATAGTAAGTCACTTTGGGAGTTTACAGAGCAAGACTAAGTCAGACGTGAGGATAGTTAGTCAACGATGGTATTCGATGGGAATCTAGCCATATTCCGAACTGAAGGAGAAGTAGGGAAGTGTGAACCAGTACGAAACAGCTGTCCATTGTTGTCACCTTCTCAGGGATTCTCTAATTCATGTCATTCCATGATGAATGCCAACTTGAAAACTATATATATATAGTGAGCCATATAAGTCAAATTTGTTTGGGTACACCTGTGAAGAATTTGACCGAAAATGAGTGAAACAGCCATCCTATGTTTACATCACTCTATTTCATCTGGCGAATGGAATGTAGATGGTCAACCTGAATGGTTTCTAACTATTCAACTTGTTCAACAAGAGTGTAGGTTGATATTCATTATAAACTGACATCAGATAGTAGAACATTGGATGTCTCGCAGCATCTGACAACTGTTCCGTCCTGCTATAGGACTCTTCAGCAGCGTGAACCCATGAATCCATCAGGGATCGGACCCACTACCTCCAGGTTCCATGGCCAGCACATTACCACTTGACCATATATATATGCGTGTTGGACAAGGCATGTACAGTTATCTACAAGGCTACTGGAAAAAGTGGCTTTCCTGAGAGACAACACTCTGACGTTCGAAGTGAACGGTACTGGGTTCAGTTGGGACAAGATCAACTACTGGGGTGCAGGTACATCCAGCTGACGAGTTCTAAGTAGGGCAAAACGCGTGTCTGGCTTCTTCTGCTAGTCAAGAGGATCAATATACTCCTTCATAGTCTATTTACCTAAGGCTCAACTTATTCAACTCTATATCAGGTGAAACTTTGTCCTCTCTAATTCGAGTAGATTTCGATTGAGAAGTTGTCACTAGGTGAGGCAGGGAAGTCATATGAGTACGATCAAACGATAGTCGAATAAAAGTCTCGATGGACTGAGATGAAATAAAAAAAAGTGGTGCTCAACATTTGTGTCTTGAAGTTGAGTTGGTTGAGTGGAGGTTTCTGGTTCGAATCCTACCTTGGACAAAGTTTTCACTCAGTATAGGAACTGTCTCAGTGGCTTAGTAGTTAACACTTTGAGATTTGAACTCCAATGAGAACAACATCACCATTGAAGTTCACGTACATTCAGCTGAGGAGTCTCAGAAAGGATGAAATACACGTTGTGAATTCTACTATTAGTGACCAAGGTGAATACTATATTAAAATATTTGTTTCTGATATTTTCCTCTATATTTTCATATAACTATCTAGGTTGTAACAGTTTAAAGCTGTAAGTGGATTAGAGAAACTAAAGCGAATGTGATACTATTCTGCCATCTTATATGCTTACATGTTTTCATTACAATTAGTATCAATTGACTATGAATATTACTCATAAGAAAACTTACTTATATCTTTATTAGTTGCATTTTTAACAAACTCCTCAAAGTGTTCCTTTACATTTATTGATTGCTGTTCAATTTGATCATTCTGTTCACAATAATTATCATCTTGTAGTTGCCATCTCTTTCTCCTTCTTCTTCTATCATCATTAACCTCTTCATGATGAAGTAAGTTAACTTTTGAATGAAGTAAATAAGGTTTCATTCTTGTTTTTCGGTGTAGTGTACACTTTCTATCTTGATAATTATTACCAGAATGACAATATATGGAATGATATTTGAAAAATAAGTTTTCCATAGTATAGAATTGTTCTGATTTCAATTTTGTTACGGTTGATGAAGATGAGATGAAACCATCAGATAGACAATTAGTATTATTATTATTAGATGAAATAGTTTTCTGTAAATTTCCACGTAATCGTAAATAATCACCAATACGATAATCTAAACAGCGTAAATAATGATTCAATCGTTTAATCCAATATTGTTGTGTTTTACGTTTTTCAATTAACATTGTCGATTGATGATTATGATGATTTAAGGTACTGTTGAACATTATTCCTTCAATTTATCCACATATATATGATTATTAAAAAGACAGAAAGTGTACTAGTCAACACCTCAGAGTTCACTTATTATATTCATATGTATAAAGTTTATTCATCATAAGAGAAAAAGAAGTATTTACAATTCAGAAATTATTTGTATATTTATCTATAATGTGTGTATGTGTTTACGGGACGAATAACCGTTGTCACAACTCTCTCTTTCTTTCTTAATATTATGCTTAAATGTCATAAATGAGTGATGATAAAGGCTAGGGGAGGTGGTGATAAATAAAAGAATCGTCATATATAATCAAAATGTCTATTTGTGTATACATGTATGCAGGTGCGTACGTACGCCCGCCTGTGAGCGAGTGAGTGAGTACTTGCGTGCGTGCGTGCGTAGCATATGAATATGTCTGTATACTAAACTATTAACAATGTTTAAGTATTAAATTCCATACTAATGTATCATTATTATCATTATGTTTTTTTATTTATTACAAATTTCGTTTAATTTTTTTTCCATTTCTTTGATGAGTGACGAATAGGAAGCAAGATAATAAGCATACTTTTAAATATTAACCAATCATATGCTCAGGAGATAAATAATAACAATAATAATAATGATAACAATACGAATAATATACCGAAAAGCAAGCGTTTCAACATCCCTTTCACTACACATACACACACACACACACCGTGGTGAATATGAAGACACACTAAATCTGGCATACAGGGATATATAGTAAGAGGATTGAATATTGAGGGGATGAAGTTATCATGAATATAGTCATTGATAGAAGTTGATATGCGTACACGTACAAAGGAAATAGAACTTTTGAGCATACAAATGATAAATAAATAAATAATGTGTTAGTGTTAGCTCATGTCTGCCTAACGATCCTCTGTGTTAATTCTCACCGGAAAAAAACCCTGCAAGGCATCAGTTGAAAAAGAATTCGAAATTAACGAGTATAGGACTATTCAACAGTATCCACCCTAATGATCCTATCAGGGGTCGAACTCAACACCTTCTGGTTTCATGATGGACCATTGTAAAGGCTGACTTGCATCAGTCATCAACAGAAATACTTGTATATGCATCATTAAAAATTCTCATTACAATTCGAAAGTCATATGACTGAAAAATAGAATATTTTTTCGAATAACTCCTTCTAAATGTTTTACAGATGTAGGTACGTATTGACGAGTTACCAGTCAGTAATGTAGAGTTTCTGCTCATCAGTTTGTTAATAATAGTGTACAGTTGAGGAAGTCAGTTGAGAATGTTTATGGTAGAATCAGTCAGTACTACGATTCAATTCCGAATGTCATCACCCAAGTGATCATACGATTTCAGCAGGTGCATCCGGCTGACGAGTCCCAAATGATACAAACGGTTATCCTAGGTACCATTGCTAGCCGTCATCAATCACTATTATGAAATTGAAACAATAGGCAATATCAAGGCATATGTGAAGGAAAACAAATACCAGTAGAGATTGATCATTTCGATCCGAGAAACGACGGGATAACACAGCCAACAGCATTAAGACTATGCATGTCCCATAAGAGGTAGCTATCGTGACTCGGTGCTCTAGTGGGCGTCGCTTATACGTTTGGACAGATCGGTCTCGAGTTAGAGCCCTATCATCGAAATAAATCCGATCCCCTGAGTTCGAACACACTCTCATCATGAAAATGAGTGTACACCTAGTTTAGCTGATACATACAAAGAATTTTGGCTTGTTTCTGCCTTGTCGTACCCTTCAAGGAAGATGAAGAGTAACTGTAGTCGAACTGTCCCGGTTTTTCTTTAACAGAAATTTACTTTAGGGTAATATTCATCATGGACTGACATCATTTAGAGATCTAGTGGAAACCTCACATCATTGGACAGTTGTTTCATCCTAGTACTGGACACTTCACCAGTACGCACCCACAATCCTTCTAAGCATCGAAAACGGAACTTTCTAGCTTCACAGTGGACGTGCCAGTAGTCTACAATTTACTACTCCTGTCAGTTCATAATACAGTGTGATTATCTACCAAGCTCTTCTACTGGAATCCGCTTCACTTACACCTCAATCATACCATAAGTCGGAAGCAGGAAAGTGTGAACCGATTAACGCCACCCCTGTGGGTGGATGGTTAAGGTATTCACTGTGAAACCCGATGGTTATGTGTTTGACCCTGATTGGAGCGGCTTCACGAGTGTGTACTTCTTAGGACGAAACAGCTTGTCTAGTACTCACAGGTTTCCAGTATTTATCCACTTCACGTTAGCCGGTGAAGAATACTCCCTTGAAATAACCATCAACTTACATTAACTCCTGAATACACTACACTACACTACATGCAATAATGTCTAGGTGTTATTGTGTGATATGTTTGTTACTAAGTAGCTGATAGTAAAATGGGTATGAAACTGTATCGAGTTGTCTATCCTTCTGTTATGTTTTAAGTAATGGATAAACGGTTACCTTTTCATTGTTGAACAAAGTTTATTACTGTAAAATGTCATTTAACATAGTAAGTCGTAATCGACCTGAGTATCTCAATCATTTGTTTCAGGAAATTTATTTTCCCCCTGACGATTAAAACTTTGATCACCTAGTTAACAGTTTAACCTTGCCTAGACACCAAGATAAGCCCTCATTAATCTGAAATCAGTGTGGAGATCTACTCCACTCCACTCCACTCCACTCCACTCCACTCCACTCCACTCCACTCCACTCCACTCCACTCAGCATAAAGGATGAAGTCTGGATTTTCAAGGCAAATCCAGTCAAGTCAGTGGTTCTATGTGATGGTTGAGAGACTTGACGCGTTACAAAAAGCATTTCCAGTAAACTACAGACATACGTTGTCAGTGATTGCCGCCTACGCTCTGTGGATATTGAAGATCAGATGTCCAGAGTAGTGACAATAAGTAACAAGGAAGTCTGGCTGGCTGGCTGGCTGACTGACTAGCTGGCTGGCTGGCTAGTGACGAACAAACCAACAATCTATCACACACAAAATATCCACAAGAAAGTGGAGATAGATTGGACGAACACTGAGACAAATGTTTGGCAACATGACGTGTCAGATCAGGCTTTCGTGTGGAACCGAAGTTGTAAACGACGAGTTGGGCATCCGAGGACGATATGCAGGAGATAGTATAATGAAGAAAGGAAAGCTTCTGACCAGTCATGGAGCAAGGTTGAAAAGACTGCAGAGAACAGAGTGAAATGGTGACTTGCTACTGAAGTTCTATGTTCCACTAGGAACCCAAAAGATAAATAATGAAAATAAAGTTATCAGTTTTATAATCACAATATTAGTATAAGTTGATGGATGATTGAGGTTGAAATAAAAATATGGATTATGACAGGATTGAAATTAGCGATTAGCAGATTCCCAGCTCAGTGGTCTGTTAACTGAGATACGAGAGGTGAATCGAGGTCAAATAAACAGTAATCCTCTTACATGTTATATCGATTATCAATCATTGTGTTGTACAGTAGTATAACATAAGACAATTATTGATGGATTTCCTAATTTCAACATATTTTATGTATCAATGATCATTGTACTTTTAAAGTGTTTACACCAGCTGATGAGTAGTTGCGAAATCCATTGATTATATCTTCATAATCATCTAGTTCAGGAAATTCATCTATCCTGTTTTTTTCTACTATGTTTTACAATCTGCTGTTTTTTAATAATTATTCAACATTGAATTATGCCACTATGTTCAATGTTCAATACTTTTCTTTACACTCATTCATTGGTAATGAAGGAGATTAGAAAAGACTTTTTTTGGTGACTTTCTGAGGTAGTCGTGGTTTGGCAGACTAGGTGATAATTGAAAGTCAACTGAAAATTTTAACCATGATTGGATTCAAGCCGGAGACCACTATGGTCGAAATTTTTTCTTTCACCTTTAATCTTTATCCAGTAGCAATAATTGTCTGACAAACTACGGTCATCTCGGATAGTCAAAATAAAAAGTCAATATGATGCTTTCCCTTTCATTAACAGTTACATTTCGATTGGTATGACAAATCCTAATTGAACAGTGAATATGAATGAATACGGTCAAGCGATAGTAACACATCATGAATCCATATGGTGATCACACAAAGCCCTTAATGAATGAAGTCAGATGAAAATGTAGTCACCAATCGGATTTTACAGCTGGGATGGTAGAACATTGAGTGGGAAATCCAGTGGTTGCTAGTTCGAATCCGGCCGCGTTACAGATTTTCCCTTCACCTTTAATCATCACCTAGTAAAAAAAAAGACTTATAGACGGATTATCAATAAATCGGTGAAATTTTCTTGTTACATAATATCAGTAATGTTAATAATAATAATAATTTTAATGACTAGTTTATGTGATTACTCAATTTTTTTATGTTTTGAAAATGACACGGAAAAGCTTTTCTTCCTTTATTTTATAACAAATTTTTCGTGCCATAATTCAATAAATGTGTTGATATAATCTTACGGTCATGTTTTGTTTTGTTTTGAGGTGTCATCTTTATGGTGTATTCACTTGTCCATCTGTGTGTCTGAGTATGTGTGAGTGGGTGGCATATATATTCATAGATTGAAGATGAAACCATTTTGACATATTTATGATCAAAAAACTATTCATAAAAGGGGGAGCAAGAGGAGTAGTGGTACACAATTCCTTTTATCATAAAAAATTCAACTTTAATTCAGATTAACTTGACAAGGAGGGGGGGGGGGGGGACAGAGGCGGAGGTTATTTTCTTGTTCGTCTAAAGATGATATTCGTGAGACAGATACGAGAACCTGAATAATTGTGACTTCAATCAGTAATCCTCATAATGAAAATTAAAATGGTGGACATTTACCTGAACTTTCAACTGAGTCTATCAAGCATTTACTTGGAATAATTCAGTTAAGAGAACCCGATAAATTCATGAAGGTGAGTAGAATAAGTGAGACAGTTATTCAGTGTTTAGTGAATATTACTGATGAGCTTGTAACCACCTGATTTTTATATTGGATGATAGTTGAAGATGAAATGAAAATCATGGTCGCAGAAGGATTCGAACCGTGGACCTACGGCTAACGGACTCCATGTTCTACTAGTTCAGATACGACACCTAACTGCCGACCACTACATTTTTATTTCTTTTCAATCATCAATACTTTTGCTCGACTGTCATATGATCGTACTCATATTGGCTGCCCTGTCTTGCTACGCCCAGTCACGACTTCTCATCCCAATCGAGATGTACTCGAATTAGAGACGATGAG